TAACATCTGGAATCACATAGGGCCTTACAAATTAGTTTAGGCGCCTTAAGTGTTGAATAAAAACTGTAGTATTCAGAGATGTAAACCTCCGAGTTGATTAAGCTCTCTGTGCTAATTCAAATTTGCTAGGGATAGTTTTCGTCAGACGGAATAACTTTGAGTAGCCAGCATTCAGCTGGATCTCCCAGGGCTGTTCTGAAAACCTTTTTATTAGTCCTTTTCTTGCATGTCCTGTGCTACATGACGACGATTCAGGGCAAGGTGCCTGGTTGCCATTGCTATTTAAAACTATTTAAAAGGCAAAGACCTTGTGTTCTCACTTTCTGTTTGAACAGCTGGAAGCTATGACACTGTCTACATGGTGCTTTGTGTTCCTTGTGTTAACACAGATGCGAGCCAAAGCCAAGAGCCAACAGCCGCTAAAATCAATAGCCAGGCGTCAGCCTGCCAAGTTCACCTCATTTGGTGCTTGCTGGTGCTCTAAAACAAGATCTGAACTCCGTATAGGTAAAGGTGCTAAACAGTTAGGAGCTGTTTTACAGCTGTTTTACAGCTGTTTTACAGCTAGGACCTCACAAAGTGCGTGATCAGTCCTGCTGCACAGAGAGTTTCACAGAACCCTAATGGTGTTGGGCCAAAAAGCTCAGGTGAAGACCTGCAAGAGGGAAGCTACAACCCAGCTCTAGGACTGTAGCTTCTTCTTCATACTGTCAGGAGCTTCATCATGTCTAGCTAGAGAACTAGGTTTAGTTCCCCCATTCACCACTAAGTAAGTAGCACATAGGCCTCTCCTTTATTTGAACTGAAGAATGAGTCCAAACCTCTTAAATTCCCAGCAAACACTAGCAAGTTCCAAGGACAATGGGAATAAATGGGCTGGCACTGGTCCAAGTAACGATGTTTGCAGACCTTTCTTCCTGAGGGCACGTTGGGGCACGGGTTTATTTTATTTGCTTATCATTTCCTGGACATACAGCCAGGTGTTGGATACACTGCCAGCAGGGCTGTATTTATTGCATTCAGCCTCATCCCTGCACCAGCTCTAGATCAATGTTGGAGGCAGTATGTTACTCACGGCCTCTAGCACCCTGCCTTGGCCACGTGCTTACCCCAACCTGCAGCAGCAATGAGATTGTTTCCTTATCCTCTCCCTCGAAGCCTGGCATCCTACCCTGGCCCTGGCCCTGTGCTTGCCCTTGTGCTTTACCCTGTAGTTTGAACCACAGGGCTCCCCCAGGCCCTCTGTCCAGCCCCAAATCCTCCCCCAGCCCCAGGCCCCGTGCCCGATCCATCGCTACAGCTGTGGCTAGGCTCCATCCCCCTCTCCGAACAGGGCAAGTTCCTCCCCAGCCCTACCAAGCTCCTTCATGCCGAGCTGCGTCCCTGCTGCACAGCCTCTCGCCTCTTGGCTGTCCCCACACAGCCTGGAGCAGTCGCCTTATGTTGCCATAGACACTGGGGAGAAGTTTTTATAAACCAGATGTAGGCACAAAAAAGAGCAACAATCGTTAAGTTTATTCCGTTTCAGTATGTTTTGCTCTGACAAAACGTTCAGAGAACATCTCACTGCGCGCGTCCCTGGACAAACATCAGTTGCACAAGCAACCACACACAACCTGATATGAGTTACAAACAACTGCAGCCCCTGACACTGGTATTGTGTCTCATTTCTTACGACTTTTCTTTCTGCTGACCTATCATAACTTTTCTTGCCCAAGCATCTCATTTCCTCTGGAGCACGGGGTGGTAATTGACTCCCGCTAGAGCTCATCCAACAGGGAACAGAAAACGATGGTGGTGGCTATTAAAATACCACTAAGGAAACGCAGGAGTGGAAAGAAAAAAGCCCCACTTCTATTTATTTCCATGATTAAAGCAATGCAGAGCTTGTAGGGAGGAGGGGGAATCAGAAGACCCGGCAGCAGGCTACTGTTGACTGGAGATTGCAGCTTTTGAAGAAAACCCTTCCCATCCTCCGCCAGCCGCTGAGCACGACTTGGCCATTTCCCTTTCCCCCTCCTCTCATCCTCTCCTTTAACATGCTCCCCCCCCGCCCGGGTTAGTTTTGGGGCACATCGGTCCCGCAGCCTG